ATTTCTCAATAGCGAGGATGCTGGCTTGGTAGTCGCGTACTTCCAAGTCACTTCCTTCAGAAACGAAGCAAGTATACTTCCAAGCCACGGCTTCGGAAAACGAAGAAGAATGGAACAGGCTAACAAGTGTGCCACTCTCTCTAACGGTTTCAACATAAACTGTACCGAAAATAAATCCCTCACGATGTCTATCTAATTATGAACTTGCTTTACTTTCACGAAACTCATTTTTGGTGATAACAAATGCAAAGAAGTCACATATTTACCAACACATGTTCTACGCCACTACATACTTACATTTAAATGTCCGTGCGCAAAGCATTGGGGGATTTGAAGGACGAGAAGTCTACCCATGTGCAGCCTCGAAGTTTCCCCCAAACCAAGGACGCGGCCTCGGTGGAATTCCAAGTATGCTGGAGATTGGAACGGTCCTGCTGCGCCACTTGATGACGTAGCATCCTTGAAATATTGGCTTGGAAGCCAGTTTCCTCGAGATTGAGAAACGGCCAGAGAATCAGCACTTTGGAAACAGGGCTGAAACAGAGGGGATTATGGGTAATGCTGCAATGATCTGTTTGGTGTTTCAGCCAATCAGAGACAGGCTCTGGATATATCTGAGACCTGTGATATATTGATGAAGAGCAGGATGATAGGGGACCTTTAAGAACATATTCTTTACGTTTGATAAATGTCTTTCAGTCTGAAGGGACAGCCCATAATAATAATGATGAGATCTCTGCAGGTGTTTACCTGTAAACAGCTTGTTGTTTTTGAAGCTAGAGACTAAAAATAAAACCAAAACGAGTTTTAAATAACCCAACAGCATCGTCAGTCTTCAGGTTTCACAACGTCTGAAACTCTAACCCTCCTCTCGGAAACTCTATTTCAGACCCAGAACCCATTTAAACCCTCCTCCCCCTTCAGTCACACAGTGACATCACTACGGAGCACTAGCGCTCCTATTGGCTAGAGCTCCAACACATTGTACGTGATCGTAGGATAAGGGGCGGGACATCCCTAAGCTGTTTAACCAATCACAACAGAGCCGTCAAGCTCTCATGAATAAATGATCTTTTACATGAGATAGGATCAGAAGAACTTTATTGATCCCGATTTGTGAAATGTTTGCGTTGCAGCATAAAAGACAAGGCACTAGACAAAAACAATTACAATACGAGAAATAAACAATCCAAAATGTAAACATCTCAAAATAGAATTTAAAACTGCATTAAAAAGTAGAACATACCCTGACCCCTCTGACCCTGACCCCTCTGACTCTGACCCCCAGACCGACACCATGCAGAAGTCTAAGAGCGAGTATGAGTCCTTCGTCTTCTGGAAGGCGCTGCTGCCAGAGATCGACCTATCAGAGCTCTCGGATCTGAGCGGGGGGGCGGAGCTAGCTGGGAGCGCCGCTGGGAAGGAGAGGAAACAGGAAGTGAGGAAACGGGAAGAGGAAGTGAGGAAACAGGAAGTGGAAGTGAGGGGACTTTACGTTCTGCTCCTGGTTCTCTCATATCTGCTATTAACACTTAGAGAGGAGTACTCTGAGTACTCTGAGTTGTGTATGTTTTAAAGAACCTGCTTCATCCCTTTTATTGTGGTGGGGTGATTAGATAATAAGATAAACTTTATTGATCACAATCTTTGACATGTGATCACCACAGCAGCATCGATTAGACATTACACATGAAGGAGAAGTAAATACAAACAAAGTGATATATAAGAGCAGGAGAAGACAAACAAAATACACAGTGAATATATACATATACATAACGAAGGATATGATGAGGGAGTCTGACCTGTGCTTCATCCCTTTATTGTGGCGGGGTGTCTGACCTGTGCTTCATCCCTTTATTGTGGCGGGGAATCTGACCTGTGCTTCATCCCTTTATTGTTGCGGGGTGTCTGACCTGTGCTTCATCCCTTTATTGTAGCGGGGTGTCTGACCTGTGCTTCCTGTCCGCAGGGCGAGATGAAGGAGTTTTCCTCCTTTACTTACTGGAGAGCTCCGATCGGAGACGTGGACTCGCTGCTGGCCGACCTGCTGCTCTGAGACAGGAAGTCACCACAATAAGAGCCTGCTCTCTTAAACAGGAAGTCACCACAATAAGAGTGTGGAGAAACCAGAGCCTGCTCCCTTATCCCAATCATCAGATCTTATATTCCAGATTATCCGTCTCTCTTTGGGCTTCACTCACGATGATTATCCACCGCCTCACGACAAACTAAAGTCAGTCCTTTTCATAAAACCAGGCTCAACCAATCAGAACACTCACGATACAAACATGTGATAATGTTACCAACAGTGCAGTGTTTATTTTGTTAGTTAAAGATGTCTAAAATCCGACTGTACTGACCCTCAACATATCAGAAACACTGATTCACGTTTAGACTAAATCAGTGAGGAGAGAGCGACTGCGTTCACACGCGCGTATAGCATCCTGCTTCTGATCTGGATCTATAGTCACATCGCTCCTGACCACCTGGGAACGTGGAGTCTCTTGGTTGTTAAAATGATGTAGGGTGAGTTGCCTTAATGTGGGACACTTGTTTGAAGGTTGCTCCACCCTCATCTGTGATTGGACAGTTGAGAAGTCATGTGATTTTGATTGCATGACCTCACAGCTTGTGTTAACCCATAGTTTCATTGACTCATGTGTTTGAGGAAGACCTTCACCCATTGGAGCTTAGGTGTCCGATTAGGGAGTGTCCCACATTAGGGAGTGTCCCACATTAGGGCAACTCACCCGACTGCAGTAAAGGTATATTTAATCTCTAAGGAGAGGCATGTGTTCTGAATGTAAACATGATAATACTT